AACTCCACTATAAAATACTTTTCAGTTTTGATTTTAAAGCTTTATAAGTTTTTTATTCAAGAATGTTTAAATATATTGTTACTTAAATTGTTCTACTCTGGTTGTGATTCACACAAATTTAAGAATCTGCTTTGAAATGGAACCTCCTGAAACAGGCTGTCATAGTCTAGGGTGATTAAACCACCTTTTAAAAGCCATTTTAGCTGCCATACTGTCTACGATATAAAGATGTCAAGTCTGATGGACAAGAACACGGCTAGAGCTCCCTAATAAAGAAAAGCTAAAGAAATCCAAGAGATCGAGACTGGTTTAAAAAAAGAAATCTTGGGTCATGCCAGGCAAAGCTTTACCTGTCTTACCGATCTGTCCTTTGTTTCCATGGTTTAAGGGAAACAGCAAAAAAAACCCAAAACAGTAGAGGTCAGAGTAGTGGCAGAAACTAAAGACCTCATGCAGGCCAATAAACTTTTCAAAAGTAGAAGGGGATTGGTTCAAGATGGCAAGGTTAGAAGATCCCAAATTCACCTCCCTCCATGGATATCCTGACTCTGCAACTTCATATGGAAAAATTTCCTCTTTAACAACAACAACAACAACAACTAAAAGCTGGCTGAGTACATCGGGCAAAAGAAAACCACACTGAAGTGCATAGGAGAGGCTGGGACACAATCTCACGATAAACCCTGCCCATGGTTCCATGACCAACAATGAGGAATAAACTCAAAACCCAGGCCTTCTCCTTGAGGAGTAAAGGGTTCATACCCCACAGCCAGCACTTCAACTTTTAGAACATGCACCTGAGACATGAGCACCAAAAACATCTAATTTTGAAAACCAATAAGTCTCATGTCCCAGATGCACAAGGGTATCGTGATCTGAAAGACCGCTCTTAGTGGGCCTGGATGCTTGGACATATCTGCCCTAGGGCCCAGCTCAGAAGCAGCCTGATTGCATCCAGACATAAAGTAAAGGAGGTTGACCTGCTTATGTTACAGTATCAGCCTGTGGGCAGGCATCTAACTTAACACACATATCTGGGAACCTAGGAATATTCTCTGGCAAGTGCTGTGTCCGTGCTCTCCCTTTGCTGTGCTCCAGAGCACCAGGAAGGAAGATTTTACATGTGTCTTGTGCCCTGATCTTTGTGGCTGCAGCCCAGGGGATGCCTCCTGACTGGCTGGCTCTGGAGGCCAAGGGGTTTTGTATTCTTCATCTCATAAGACTGTAATTATCAGCATCATCCAGAGGAGCTTATATCCATGTCTGGCACCTTGATTTTTGCACCTGCTACTAGGCGACACATCCACATTACCAGCTCTGTTGGTCAGTGGAGCTTCCGCTTGTGGGTCCCATAGGACAGTAATTGATGGAGAGATAGTTCTTAAATAGCTACCACCCCCACTGCACAAAAGAGGCAACAGGCCTAGGGGCTTGGTCTTTCTGTGAAGGGGACCTATTAACTAAAAACCATTGTGCAGCCTGAGCAGCAGGTTTCAGTTAAACACACATCTAAGGAATGACTATAATCCTTTCCAGAGATGTCAGCACCACTATCTTCATGCTGTCCTTCTGCCACACTCCAGAGCGCCAGTGTCTCCTGGAGGGAAGCTTTGCATGCAGCTGGTGTCCTGGTTTTTACATCTGCCCTGTTTTTGCATCTGTCCCCTAGGGTATGCCCCTTGATTGCCTGGCTAGTCAGGAAGACTTGCATGCCTGGGTCCCACAGGACTGGCAGTTGGAGACAGAATTCTTGGCTGGCTGCCACCCCAGGATACTGCACAGACAGCAAGTTGAGGCATACCTCCTTCCAGTCTTTCTGTGAAGGGGGCCTCTTGGCTTGTCTTAGAACTTTGGCCCGAGGAGCAGGCTTCAGGGTTGGTACACATCTAGTAGATTAAGAGCTACTCTCTAGGAATGTAGGTTGTAGACACCATCTTGGCACTCTCCTTCTGCCTTGTTCCAGCTTGCCAGTGTCTCTCAGAAAAGAGATGATACATTCATCTGGAGCCTCAATTTTTGTGACTGTCACCCAGGTGACCGCCAAATTACTTGGTCAGTGGGGCTTATGCTTGTTCCATAGGACTGACATATTTGCATAATTTTTAAAGCTGGTACCTGAGGGTCTGGCTTCCAGACAGCCTGAATCTAGGTAATGAGCTCCTTCTCTTTCAGTCACTGACAGGTCTTGGGACATCCTCACCTACTGAGGGCTCATAAAAATATAGTAGGCTTTTTGAATAATAATAAAGTTTTGAGAGATAGCAGAGTTGAAAGACAAGGTTCATCTTCTACACAAGGAGAGGCTGTTGTTTTATCTACTCTAGGGATCAACACTTTTCATTTGAAGTAAAATGAAAAGAAAAAAAAAAAAAGAGGCATATATTCCAAATGGAAATATAAAATAAAACCTCACCCAAAAAAAACCTTAATAAAATGCCGATAAGTAATTTAACTAATAAAGAGCTCAAAGTAATGCTAATAAAGATGTTCATCAAATGTGGGAAAATAATGGATGAACACAGTGAGAACTTCAGCAAGGAAATGGAAAATAAAAGAAAGTACCAAATAGAAATCACAGAGCCAAAGAATACAGTAACTGAAAAACATACTAGTGAGGCTCAACAACACATTGCATGAAGTAGAAGGATCAGTTAACATGAATCCAAGCTGCTGGTGGAACTCAGCCAATCACAGCAGCAAAAAAAAAAAAAAAAAAAAAAAAGAAAGAAAAGAAAAAAAATAAAAATAACTTAAAGGGCTTATGAGACAACATCAAGCAGACCGACATTTACATTATGGGGTTCCACAAGGAGGAGAGAAAGAGGCAAAAAACATGTTTGAAGAAATAATGGCTAGAAACTTCCTTAAGGAAGATAAGGAAGGAAGTGGGGAAGGAAACAGACATTCATATCCACAAAGCCCAGAGGTTTCCAAATAAGATGAAATCAAAGAGACCCACATCAAGACACATTATAATTAAAATGTCAGAAGTTAAAGATAAGAAAATAGTAAAAGCAATAAGACAAAACAAATAGTTGTGTACCACAGAACCCCCAAAATAAGTGTTTCAGCAGAAACTTTACAGGCCAGAGTGAGTGGCATGATACATTCAAGATGCTGACAGGGAAAAAAAAACTTCCAACTAAGAATATTCTACCCAGCAAAGTCATTCAAAATTGGAGAGATCATGAGTTTTTCCATATAACAAAAACTAAAGGAGTTAATCAAACTAAACCAGCCTTACAAGAAACGTTAAAGGGATTTCTTTAAGCTGAAAAGAGAGGTTACTAATTGGTGACAAAACATATGGAAGAATAAATCTCACTGGAAAGGTAAATACATGGTAGAGGTAGTGGATTAATCAATTATAAAGTACATGGCTTAAAAGACAAAATTAGTAAAAATTCTATGATCGTGATAACTAGCTAAAGGATGTAGAAGTAAAATGTGACATCAAAAACAAAGTGTTGGGGGGCACCTGGGTGGCTCAGTGGGTTAAGGCCTCTGCCTTCAGCTCAGGTCATGATCCCAGGGTCCTGGGATTGAGCCCCGCATCTGGCTTCTGCTCAGTGGGGAGCCTGTTCCCTCTCTCTCTCTCTGCCTGCCTCTCTGCCTACTTGTGACCTCTGTGTCAAATAAATAAATAAAATAAAATAAAAGTGTGGGACAGGGAAGAGTAAAAATGTAAGCTTTAGAATAAGACCAAACTTAAGTTATCAACTTAAAAGTAGACTGTTATAATTAGAACTTGTTATATGTTAAGCCTCCTGATAACCACAAGGTGAAAACCTATAATATATACGGAAGAGAGAAAGAGAAAAGAATATAAGTATACCACAAAGAAAAGTCATCAAACCACAAAAGAGAGCAAGAGAAAAAAGGAACAGAGAGAACTACAAAAACAATTAACAAAATGACAAAAATAAATGCCTATCAATAATTACTTTAAATGCACATGGGCTAAATTCTCCAATCAAAAGATATAGAGTGGTTGTTTGGATTGGGGAAAAAAAAATAAATAAATAAATTTACACTGCCTATAAGAGACTCGCTTCAGATCTAAGGACACATAGACTTAAAGTGAAGGGGTGGGAAAAACTATTTCAGCAAATGGAAACCTAAAGAAAGCTGGAGTAACTATACTTGTATCAGACAAAACAGGCTTTAAAATGAAGGCTGTAATAAGAGACAAAAATAAGCATTACATAATGATAAAGAGGTCAATCCAACAAGAGGATATAACATTTGTATATATTTATGTACCCAATATAGGAGCATCTAAATTAATAAATTTTAACAGACCTTAAAGGGAGAAATAGATAGCATTACAGTAGTAGTAGGGGTTTTTAATACCCCATTTACATCAATGGATAGATCATCCAGACTGAAAATCAGTAAGGAAATATTCACCTTAAACACATTAGACTGGATGAACTTAACAGATAATTACAGAATATTCTATCCAAAAGCAATAGAATACACATTCTTCTTGAATGCACAAGTAACCTTTTCCAGGAAAGATCATATGTTAGGCCACAAAACAAGTCTTGTTCAGGGACACAAAGAATACGTCATCCCGATGACAGGCGAGTTTCATCTTTAGGTATTGACCTGCTATGCCTCTTCAGGATTCTTTGGTCCTTAAATTAATAAGGAAATTAGATAGTATGACCCATTAGGCCAGATGCACATAACAGAAATATATGTAATTTCCCATCCAAAAGCAACTGAAGAGCACATTCTTTTCAAGTGTACATAGAATTCTTTGGTTTATGTTTCAAACTGCCACGTATTATCAGAGTTCTTGAGCATAAGAACAGGAGTATTCACCCTCCACCGAATGCTTCAGATTAGATCAGAGAATGTCTTTGGAAAGTTTTCCAAATACTGTATTTCCTCTCTTTGGATGGGTGTGGCTTAGAGTCATTGTGAATCTGCAACATTTAACTTATTGTTGCCTGAATGATTAAACATTATGTTAATATGCTCATTCTGTCCAGGTGTCATTCTCTATATCCTCCTGGTGGGATATCCACCCTTCTGGGATGAAGATCAACACAGACTGTATCAGCAGATTAAGGCTGGAGCTTATGATGTATGTAATAAATGTTCATATAGCTGTAGATGAGTGTTTGTGTTTTGTCTTTTGACCAAGAACCAGATTTTTTCATTACAGGTTTAACTATAATTTTCAACTGTTTCTCTTACTTTTTTTCTCTCTCCTAGGGAAAGGGAGATAAAGAGTAAGGAATGTAGCATATGTATTCAGTTTATATTTCCTTTTAGTTCACTATCTCCTAGGATGGAAAGAAATACAGTTGGAAGTCTCTAAGGAAGATGACCTTGCTTGTAAAAATTTGGGGATCTGAGTGCATTTTAAAACATAGAAAAATTTAAAGATTTTTGCTTTAGAAATGATTACTGCTTGTTAAGTTGAATTATATTCCCAAATGTTTATCACATAATTTTAAATAGTATATCAGTAGTACTTTGCAGTGATCCATGTATCAAATAGAACATTGTTCCATTGCGTTAGCTTGACTTTTTTTGTCCTGTTTCTATAATGGGCTTCTGTGCAAGCTTTCATTTGAAAAATGGGTTTCGTAATTTTAAAATGTTTGAAAATCACCGTTATAATACATTTAATTTTCAGTTAAGAATATTTGAAAGTATAAATATGAATTAAGTCCTAAATCTAAAAAGTAAGGCCTTATCAATTTTCTCTTTATGGCTTAACTTTGTGTTCATTGATATAATTTTCTTTCCTTTGACAAATATATCTGTAAATATAATTTACCACTACCTCTGGGTATACCTCACTTAGTCAGCCCTCTGAAAATTAGAGTTCAGAGTCTGGAGATGCTTTCCATGTATTATTAAGTGGGGTTACTACAAGAAGTAGGCATTATTGGTCTATCCTGCTGTGTCCAAGTTAAAAGCTCAATGTGGAAGTGAAAGGAGTTTTTAAAAAGTCTGTATTATATTGTATCAGGCCACATGAACTCAGCATGTCATTTCTTTATTGCATGGAGCACTGGGTGTTATATGTAAACAATGAATCTTGGAACATTACATCAAAAACTAATGATGTACTGTATGGTGACTAACATAACACAATAAAAAAATAAATGTTCTACATATGGATGTGTGTAATGCAAGAATTTAAAATGTATATTCTTTTGATTTTGAAGCATTCCATTCTAGTCAGACTAATAATTGGACCAAATTATGATTTATGTGGCCATAGCTAGCACATTCATCATTTTTACAGACTACAACTAGGCACCCCCGGGAAGATACAGCTATGCAGATGCACTGTTTGATCAATATGAAGGAGGGACTTTGTTAAAATTTTAAAAATGAGAAAAAGGCGCACCTTTATTCAGGCTGAACCAGCTCCCAATTTGCTGTCGGAAGATCTGTACACCATGAAGGAGTGGCCTTGAATATTTCTTCAGTAGCTCCTAATCATTAACAAGCTTTTACAGCTGCCCATAATAACATTTGGAATTAAAATGAAAGTGGTAAACTGGTAAAATTTGAAGTATTAAAGAGTCACTATCATTTCTTATTTCATTTTGCCAATGGGTCACAAAGTACCCATTTTATAACTACTAAAAGTAAACTAAAGTCCATGATACAGTGACAGTGGCATTTGTTCCAAGATTATCTATAACAATTCATGAACTGAGAAAAGGATCTGATATTCTGTCTGTTGCTTAGAAACTAATGTGATGTAAATTTTTCTGAACCTAACAAGAGTAGTATTTCTACTAATAAATTATGTGAAAACAAGTTTGCATTTTTATCAACACAAATTTTAAATGAAGAAACTTAGAATAAATAGTTTATTGTATAGTTATTCGTGCACAGATGGATTACTAAGAGAAGTTATGAATACTGGTTCCTTTTAAGAACTTTGCTTTTTGATGAAATTTGTAATCAGGCAGATTAACCTTTCTGAGATGTTAAAATGGAGTCCTGCTAAGGTTCTTGTAGTCTGAGATTTCTTTCAGTACTGTATTACAAATAGCCACAAGTAGTAGGTCAGTTTGGGCATAGGTAATGGAAGCTGTGTTATTATCTCTACTATTCCTGCTCATAAGTTATGAAAGTATGTAATACCTCTTTTTTTTTTTTTTCTGTAATACCTCCTTTTGAATCTTGGTGTAATAGCATGATGACATCAATACATGTGACAGCCTGTCAGCTTTATTGATGTTTGCAAATAATTATAAGATTGCATAAAATTTTATTTTCAAACCAAATAAGGATGCCTTGAGAGGACTAGAAGATTCTTAAGTTTATTTTTCTAAATTTTAAAGTGTATTTACAAGGTATAATATGCAATTTAGAATAGATATTTAGCCCTTATTGGTTATTTTTCTTTATGTAAATAGAGACAGAGGGGATATATACTGCTATATATCAGTTTATCTATCTGTAGATCTAATTTAACTTCTACAAAAAGTAAACGTATGAAGAAATTCACTACTTAAGGAAATGATTAGTTTGCTTGGTTCTTCCCTCTTTGACTGAGTGTATCTATTTTTTAAACTCTTTATAAATTTGTATTTTTTAAGTTTCCATCACCAGAGTGGGACACAGTGACTCCTGAAGCCAAAGACCTAATCAATAAAATGCTTACTATCAACCCTGCCAAGCGTATCACAGCCTCCGAGGCACTGAAACATCCATGGATCTGTGTAAGTGACAATTCTGTAAAGACCTTAGGAGAAAAATTAAAAATAAATTCCTCTTTAAAATTGTTTTCATGGATTTAAAATAATTTTTGCAGAACAAGATGAAACTAAAAATGAATGAATATTTCACTCAAGGTGTTTAAGAAAATAAATTTGTAATGATGATTGCTGTTTGGGATAACAAAATCTAATTTACATAGATTGATGAATATTGCCTACAATAATACAAGGAATGAGTATTTCCCCTACCAGTTATTGATAATACTCATGAACAAAGGTCAAGGAAATGACACCAGGATTAACTATATCCCAGTAGAGAATATTGGACAAAGTTCAATTACTTATCATTAAACAGTTTTAGTGGGGAAAAAATAAGGTTTAGAAGCTTGTAGTAAAGTTATACTAGCAAGAAAGAATGGCCATAGTAGCCTGAATATACTTTAGGTGTGCTAAGGAAAACTGAGATTTGGAAGAAATGTAGAGATTTCAGTACATATCTAGGGTTAAGTGTCAAATGTTAGGGCAGTAAATATGGTCCTAAGTAAATGAAAGACAGTACAATAGAAATATAATTAAAGACATTGAAATAAAGGTGATTTGGGGAACTATTGATACTCATTTCTATACTTTCTATAGATAAATGTTGCAAAAATAGTCTTGGCAAAACTAGTCATCCATTATTAGGGAACTTTTTTTGCAAGTAAATAATTACAAGTTCATCATATGGGTTCAGGCACCATTAATGCAGATTTGATGAAGTTGAGATAATGTAATACTTAGTATGTTTTAAATATCCTAAGTTTCCTTTCTTCCTCTTCCAGCAACGTTCTACTGTTGCTTCCATGATGCACAGACAGGAGACTGTAGACTGCTTGAAGAAATTTAATGCTAGAAGAAAGCTAAAGGTAAGTTATTTTACATTTTTGTGGGGAGGTAGACGTGGCAGAGTGAGAAATGAGATTCTCTATGAGAAAATAACTTTTCAGCAAGACTTTTAAATGTGCAGACTTCAGTAGTCACTCTTCTTCTGGCTCTTCAGAAAATGGAATAGCACACTGAAAGTAAGTCTACAGTGAAGAGTTAGGATCTCTGTGCAGTGTGTGCTGTGGTTCCTCCCCTCGGAGGAAAACAACTGTACATCTTGGTAATTGGAATCTGGCCACACACAGGGCAGCACAGCATTATGTAAGATATAAACCTTCTGCTCTCAGGAAACAAAAACCAAAAACAGACAAATAAAAATCTCCCAGCTGAAAGTAAGGCTAGGAGAAGATATGTTATCAAAGACTGTTTATTTATCAGGACAAAGATTGGCTTAAGTAACATTAATTTCATATTCTTTATCTTTCTGACAGGGTGCCATCTTGACAACTATGCTGGCTACAAGGAATTTTTCAGGTACATGTATTAAGAATTCTCCTTATTCACTGCTCTCTTTTTTAGTAGTCATCTTAGAATTAAAGAAAAACCTAGTAATAGGAAAACACTATTGTTTAGGGATAGCAAATATATGGCATGGATTCTTTCCACACAGCGCCTGTCATTAGGAATCCATCTGGGTACTATCTCCACAGAGACATTAGGCATGTGACAGCACTCTTCACGAGAGCTCTCAAGCAGTCCCTCCCCTGGTCAGTGCCATGCAGCTGTGAAACCTACCTGTCATCCTAGCTGGGGTACACACAAGTTGAAATATGTACTTCCTCCTTTTAAAGCTCAACATTTCAAACCTAGAATTAGTTCATTGATATTACATCAACTAATAGGTATAAATAAAATTTTTTTGTTTGTCTCATTCTCATAGGGAATCCCAATAAGCAAGATTTTTAAAAGAAGACCATTATTGAGGAACCCAGTTCTCTTAGGCCCAAGTTCTTTCAAAAGTACAGTTGTATCTTGGCACACTATAAGAATGGTTGCATATTTCAAAGGTATCTAAACACAAGAATTGACAAAGGACCCTACTTCACAGTAGTATCACAGGATAATAAATGTTCCTCAAAATGATTCCATGGTAGAGAAGTGAGTTGGGGGAAATTGGAGGGGGAGACAAACTGTGAGAGACTGTGGACTCTGAGAAACAAACTGAGGGTTTTGGAGGAGAGGAGGTGGGAAGTTGGGTGAGCCTGGTGGTGGGTACTATGGAGGGTATGTATTGCATGGAGCACGGGGTGTGGTGCATAAACAATAAATTCTGGAACACTGAAAAGAAATAAAATTTAAATAAATAAATAAATGATTCCATGCTAAAAATAATTTTTTAAATAAAATAACTAAGCCATTTCTTTATTATAGGAGTGACTTTCTAAAATGGGCATAAATATGTCCAGAAATTACTTGAACTTTGTAACCCCTTTCTTTAATAGATTATCACAAAGGACCATGTTTCCAAAAATCATATTTTGGTAAATGCTAATTAGTCTTATGTATGGGGAGGAACTGAAACAGCAAGAAAGCTGCATTTGGTGAAGTGCCTGTTGAGACATGGAAGGATTATCAAAAAATTTGCCAAAAATACTACCACTTTACTTTGCTTACTATTTATATAAGAGAGATCTGAGACATCAAATTATCCAGCTATTCTTCAGTGATTTTTCCCTGTACATATTTAACTCCTAGGTATTATAGTGCTATCAGGTGATAATCCATAACCTTCTCAGGTGTTCTTTAACCTTCTCAACCTATTTTTCATTACTGTTCCTGACTATATTAAATGGTCAGCTTTTGCCCCCCATTATATTTAGTTATACATAATGTGAAACTATAGGAGGCTTTCCAAAGGCTTCCAGTGACCTGTTAAACAGCAACAAAGATGAGAATACAATGAGTAATGCTATAAATTGAGGAACTGTGTTAGATATATGTATTTTGTCCGGTTTGTTTGGTGTAATAAAACATTGTTACTGCCTTTGTCAAGTTACCTGTTTTATGAACAGTTGATTAATATAGTTGACATTTATATGGGTGAGTTCAATATCATCTCATTGAATATTAACTAATATATACTATATTCAAATAAATATTTCATTGTGGCCCCAAAATTAGTGAATTAATAAAAGATAGGATGATTAACATATTTTGTTAAAGATAAACTAACTTGAAAAAATCTCTAATATTATGTATTTTGTTAAAGTCTTAATTACACTCTTAGGCATAAATTGGGCCTTCTTAAATATATAAAACACTCATGTATAGAAGCTTTTTGTGTACATCACATTTTCCTTTTCATCATTGTGTAAACTAAAAACTCATGACTAATGTGTGAATTTTATATTGTTTCTGATGTCTTAACATGAAAGGCAAACTTTTTTTTTTAATCCATCACTTTAAAACCAACTGAATAACTTTGGACCGAGTTACACCATCTTGTACTTGATACTGCATTTTAGTTTTGAGTATTTTATTCATTCTGTTTCATTAGGAAACATGCTCTTTATAGTAATTTGTCCATAAGTATATGGTTATAAAGTTGTTTTTATTTTTTTTTCTTTTCTCCCTTTATGTGGAATGTATTTCTTGTGAGGTAAGGTGAATAGTAACCAAAAGGGACATTTCTGCATCTCCCAGGCCAAATCCCTGCTTAACCCTGAATCATTGTCTTCTCTTTGCTTGCTCTTGCAATTTCAACTATTCTGAGTTTGCTTTCTAACCTCTTAACTGCCACAGGATTTACTTAATATTGCTTTTTAACTCTAGGCAAATGGTATTATAGCTAAGGCAACTATTCTTACAATGTCAATTAATAATAAATTAATAGCTTTGTTGCTAAAGACTAAATATAATTAACATTTTTGTATTTTAAATAAACTTAAAATTATACCAAAATGATATCAAAATAATATCCCAAATCAAATGGATGTCAGGAAATTACATGTTCATGCAGTTCTATTATAACTAGGTATTTCCATTTCAGATATCAAAGTCTATACTGATACACTAAGTAATTATAAACAACATATATATAATTTATATATTTTATATATACACACACACACATATATATATAAAACATTAAATGGAAACAGGTGTATACTTTGTCCTGCATATTCATAAGTGTTCTACACTTGTTGTACTAATTGTCATTAGCAGTTACATAATCTGTTCACTGTGTATGAATGTACCCATTCATTAAGTATAGTTTTTGAAAAGATGACTTCACCTTCTGATATACTCAGGAAGCTCAGTAACAGAAACTAAAAGCTGTGCTTGGAGAAATTGAAGTTTCATATGAGACCATATACTTCAGGGGTTCTTTAATTTAGTGGAAGATTGTGTTTTGTTTTATATCTTACCTCAAATTTTATGATTTTTAATTTTTGATGTAAAAGGCTTTTGCTTATGAAAGCCTTATATTCTGATTTTGAGGTATAAAGGAAGACAGCATGCCTTTTTTTTTTAAAGGTCCTATGCTGTTTAAAAATTTGCTCTTGACCAATAATATCCCTTTTATTTTAAATACAATTAATATCAATTTTTGTAAAAATGAAAGCTCTCATTTCAAATACATATGTTTTAAAAGGGTGTTATTTAGTTAGAGCAAATTTTCACAAATAAATTTCAAACCTTTAGAAAGAGGGACTTAAGTGGCAGAACTGACATGGTCACCATACTTGTGGTATGAATGAACATGTAATACAATCTGTCAGCTAATGTCTGAAGACTGAAAGCAACTTTCTGGATTACAAAAGCATAGTCCAGTTAAAGTTCCAGTATCCTTTTCGCAACCAACAGTGAAATAAAGTCCAGTAACATAACTGGCAAAGTGTTCAATTATACGCAATGAACTAAACAAGAATTTAGTGCTAAATTTGATATGGCAAAACCAAGAAAAGTGATACTGTATTTCAATGTCCTGTAAACTCGTGTTCATCCGTGTGACTTTGATAATTTGGCATATGTTGGCCATAACTCAGTAAAGGTGGTAGAAGGAAACAATAATCTGGCTTGTTGCCTGGTATGGATTTCTGTGGATAACTCACTGAAATGATTTTACTCTCTCATTTTGCAGCAGCCAAGAGTTTGTTGAAGAAACCAGATGGAGTAAAGGTAAGTTAAACTTAAACAGGTGCTCCTAAAATCATTAATGACTTTCAGATGCTGGATCATTTTTAAATGTTAAATATAATTTGTGAGTTTTCACAGCTTGTATTTTTTATAGTTCCTATAAAGGATACAGGTTGAAGTATAAAATAATATCTAAAGGTGACTAATATGTATGGCAAGAAAAAGTATATTTTTCTATTTTATTATAATTAAATAATCTGACAAAATAATACTTTTATATGGAGTTGTAGAAATTGGATATCTAAATCCTCTCTGCTTTACTACCTCCTGAACTATCATAGTGACCTGAAAAATCAATGAAAACCAAATGCTTTGCAACTAGTTATGCTATGCTCTTGAAGTCTGCTGAAATGTATAACCTGAAAAAAAAAAAAATCAAGTCATAGGGTCTGGGAAATTAAATGTCAAATGATTAAATTTCTCTGCTTGGGCAGTTTTTATAATGGTCTTAATTGTTCTTGCTCTTCTATCATAAGGTATTGAGACATACTCAAGGTGAATATTCTGAAAAATTATAGAAAAATTTTCCAGAAAAGATAACAGGATCTTTTGGCTTTCTTGGATTTCTAAAGAAAGTAATACGACTTATTTTCTATTGGTTCTATTTTGTTTCATGGGAATTTATCTTTGATTGAATGTAACCTTGTATTTATATTATGTTTGTTATCTTTCTGGAGTATTACCTAAGTATTTTGTTTCTTTAATCCTTTTCTTTCTCTTCCAATGACAGATGTGTACTTTCCTCATGAACACTTAAACATTCTTGGGAATTAGTTAATATTCTAACATTTGAACTTGACCTAAAGTTAGTTGGTCAGTTTATTTTGAAAATATAACATAGAAGATCATTTATCACATCTTATGTTCATGCCCAATCATTTCTTCACCTCCTGTTTATGTGTGATTTGGGAATTTCCAGAGCTGTGGTTACCATGCATTGTGATTCCCATTAAGATGGCATTTGCCTTTTACCAATTGCTTTCCTCAACCTGTAATGTTCTCTTCCTTCTGCTTAATTTATTCAGTTTCAGTTTCATTAATGATGGTTGATGTTGCCTTTTTCCCAATGTTACATTGGTGAAAATGTGATATTTTAAATTTTCAAAATGTTTCATTGTGTGTTTTTCTGTACCTTTCAGTGATGCAGAGGCCACAATCCCTATCAAGATATTTATTTTTACTACTATCCTTATATAGAAAGAAACATTTCCACAGCTTTTTTTTCTTCTAGACAACTTAGAGCTCCTCTTTAAAGAGAAATTTATTCTGTGCTCCTTGCTTTGAAACTTTAAAGATTCAACCGGTCACATTTTTTTCTTTTCCTTTCTCTTTGACTGGTCAATTCAGAAAAGGAAGTCCAGTTCGAGTGTTCAGATGATGGTGAGGATCTCTATCTGCCAGATTTCTCCTCCTGTGAAAATTCACACTTAGGAATAAAAACAGTCTTATTTACCTAAGTTAGTTTAAGTGGAGAAAGTGTAGGACCATTACACATCAGTGTCACTTAACTATCAAAACACAGTACCCACATTCACATAATACTGTTTATCTTTGAAATTGAATTTCTAAAATATGTAAAAAGTTCATACTTTTATCCATGTGCTATTAAAGGATCTTTTATAAGACCAGGGTCCAGTTTTCTCTTGACACTGAAGAGATCCTGACGTAGTTAATACCTGTTTAATGATAAGTGAAGGAATACTCTAGGATTATTTTTAAGTGATGATCATGATTACTAAAACAGGAGTTATTTTTAGTTCAGGTACATTATAATGCATCTACCATGAAGTTTATAAATAGTGTGAAAGTAAGCTTACAATGGACCCTAGTTAAGCATCTTATAGAGGGAACATTTATTAACCTCAAAACTGAATAACCTTAACACCTGAGAAATAAAAATATCTTACCCATGCCTCATAATAGTAATTCAGTGAATTACTGAAATATCTGGTTTGATTTAGTTTTGTTAAAGGAAAATAGTTTCCATAACATGAAATAACTATATTTCATAAACAGAAGTTTTTATATGTTTAAAAGACAGCTTATAGTTTAACTCCTACTTAGTATTTGACTCTTTAATAAAAAAGAAGTCCTCCTAGTCTTTTACTTAGAAGTTCTTTTAATTAGAAAACTTTTACTTCTACTTTTACTTAGAAATTATCCTATTATTTTTCAACTAATTAATTAAAGTTACAAGTACCTTCAAAAGACTTCCCATAGTAATAAAAGATCATTTTAACTTAAAAAGTTTGTAACTGTATATTTAAACACAATTAAAAGTGGTGGTTGAGGCTCATATTTAACTCCTATTTGCCATGCCTGACAATAAAGCATAGCTCATCCAGGAAGAATGGCCCTCGATTGGAAAGGTTGACTTGGTAGTGTGTATACACTGTGTACCTGTGTGTGAATGTGTCTAGGGGTGTGTGTTGTATGTGTGTACACACATTTGTGCAGAGAAGTATGTGTGCATAGGTGTACATGTGTGACGTTTTCACTGAAAGAAATCAGTTCTTCACAACCATTCTAGAAAACTATCAAGTCTCTTCTCTCAAAACAGAAATAAAAGTATGAACAAAAAAAGAAGTAAAAGTATCTCAATATAGTCCTCTCTTACTTTTGTATCCACTGATATAAACTGAATGTAACATAATAAATACACGTGGTGCTTTAATTATAAGTACTCTGATCATTTGACAAGACGTCATCTGTGTTTTGCCACACACTCTTCCTGAAAGGAAATTGTGTGTGCATCCCTCCTTTTTTATCATGTATTTCATACTAACATAAGTACTAAATTTTGATCTCTTCTTAATAGATTCCATTATCTCTTATTTCTTTCTGGCTGTTGCTCAAATTTGATACTAAATTCTGTACACTTTTATGTAAAGAAAAATTTTAGACCATCTGCAAAATAGAGATTGATGGTTTAACATTTAAAGAGTTTTTCAGTAAAGGGCACCAGAAGTTTTCTCTTTTCTTGCATGTCACAGAGCATAATGTTATAGCTTATTTAAATAATACTGATACCAAACAATCACACAAATGTGAATAAATAGAAAAACAAAATATTATATACCTAAATTAATTTCTTTAACCTTCTATGTTCTTCCCAGTAGTGGTTTCAGTATGATCTTCAGGTATAAAATACAAAAGAAAAAAACTCCCAGAAAGTCCAATTAAATTGGTGTAATTGCTTATAAACTCATTTGGTGTTCATCTGTTTTATACAGTACGTTTTTCTCCTTGAGACCCTTAAGAACATTTATACTAAAATTATGGGATGTGTTCCTTTAGATAATAATATGTAAAGAAAATAGTAGTAGATAATGTAGTATAAGAGAATGAATGTTAATTTATATTTCTGTTTGGTAACCATAATGTAAGTTATCATACATGAGTTTAAAAGAATGTTGACTATTACTGTTTAGTTTTTGATCCTTTAGTGCCCAAACTCAGTTGTGATTTCAAGTTGTCGCTTGTCTACCTTGATTTTTCTCTGTGCACCCATTATAATACTTATCGACGCCTGAGCTGCTTTCACAAGTGTCTTCCGTTGTGAGATGATCTTTCTTTAAGGTCATCCCCAATATGTTAAAGCAAAGGAGTGATATTACCAAACACAATCTTCAATAGTAGCACTTTGAAAGAAAAGCAAAGTAGTAACACTTTGTCAAGAAACACAGTGTTTTCCTCTCAAACAATTGTGAAAAAGGTCTTCTGACATTCAGAATATAGTAAAGAATTCAGTTTGCCCATTTATAATTGGAGATGTGTTTTTTTAAAGAGGCCCAGACGTACCATTTAAAAAATATAAAGCCTGCATCTCATCAGAAGATAGAGGTTTTGAATTGGATGCCTATTAAGCAAAGTGATGATGGCTTCTCAGAGAAAGACGGTCTATGTGTGACTTCAGGATCAAGAATAAAATGAAAAAAAAAAAGTGTTCATAACAGAGAACAATTGGAAGCTGGGAACAGAATCCACCTTGAAGAGTATGAAAATGTTTATATTTATTTCATACTCTAAACTTGATTCGAGCTCCACTGAAGCGGTTCTTCGGTGGCTAATGTGCCACAGCCAAAGCACCCAAGTCTGTTTTATCATTCCACTGTCAGAGACACGGTCCTAGCCTGTATGACTATAGAATTGATTATTATTCTTGTCAGACATCACAGTGTCTTTCACGTTCATCCTCAGTGGCTCTTTATTTTCAAGTCTATATCTCCACATAGACGTGCTGCAATATAGAGACATTAGCTATGAAGGGGTTTAAGGCATCTCTGTTTCTATTTTCTGCATACCTACAGATAAACAACAAAGCCAACGTGGTAACCAGCCCCAAAGAAAATATTCCTACCCCGGCGCTGGTATACCTGGACTCTTTGTAACCCTTCTTAAGTTCTTTATTGTTTTTGTTGTTTCTCTCATTTGCTTTCACTCTATAGATACATATATTATATAAGTACTTTATTTTGTTGGGTTTTGTTTTGCTTACACAGATAATGAGAAAAGTTCATTTCGTTTCTTTTTTGTTGTTGTTGTTAAGGTAGTTGCCAAGCAGTGTGTTTCTAACATGAGATGATCTCATTTCATTGTCGAACATTATTCTGATAGCTGTGGTCTCTGTAGTTGAAACTGTTGCATGCTGCTTTAGAATACAGTAGAATGCGCTTGTGTTGCTCTTAGCTCTTCTTCTGATGGTAGCTCTAGATGATGCAAAAAACGGTTTCCTCCTTTCATGATAGAAATATTGACATCAAGGAGAGCTAAGGGGATTATTGCTAGACAACAGTAATGTAGACCTTATTCAGAGTTCCCGTTCCCTCTTACTAAAAGACAGCAGGGCTTTGTAAGACCTCACTTTTTGAGATAAAGAGGCATTGGGTAATTCTGAGCTTCTTGTTTGCTGTGTTTTAAATGATCACTGTTTCACTTTAATCCAAAGAATGAAGTGTATAGCAGAGAGCTTTGAATGATCAGTGGAAACGAGTTTTGCCCCTTTTAATCAATTCACACTATTTACAACTAAATCATTTTAATACTTTGAGATAGTGTTATATTAAAAGTCAAGATTTGAATACTGGCATTCAATACTCTGAGTTCCATAATGGTTTGTTCAAACTATTACATATTTTGATAAAGGTTTTCTGAAATAGTTCTGATTTTTTACTATCCTCTGTACTGTTATTTTTAATGAATAAAAAATAGTAAGGGATTATTTCACTTGGGTTAACCAGAAGGTTCAGTTTAAAAACACTTAAAGGAAAAAGGACATATCAAGACAGTGTTATCTATGAGTAAAAAACAATGTCAATCACACCTCTCGCCAGGGAAAGGAAGAAAAGAAGCAGTAAATGTGTTCTTTGTTATGGCATAAACCGTGGTGAAGAGGAGATCCTAGAGGACAGAAGAGTGCTTATAGTGGGAAAAAATTTTCAGTGGGCTGCAGTAACTCTCAGTTACCAAGACATCATGCAATGAAAGTGCCAAGCATGCCAATAATATATGGACACTGAATCTTTTTTAACATCAGTCATTTGAGTGTTATTTTCCACTTGGGAATGTTTCTTCAATTCTCTGATAGAAAGCAGGAAGGAATAATATTTTCTTCTTAGTAAAGCATGACTTTACAAGCAAATCTGTATATGTAGTCCATAAAGCTAAAATTTATTTTTTAGGTATAAATTACCATGGCATTTAATAGCAGTGTGTCTCAGATTATAGTGATTATATGAGTACTCCTAGAATCCTTTAAATGAACCTTTTCAATATTCCATAGAATGGCTAATGGACTTTGGAAATACATTATTTAGGATAGCCTTTTTTTTTTAAGCAAGGCACAATGTTCTAGATTTTCAGAGTATTTATCTGTGTATTAACTATACATTACTAACTATAGTAATGACATCATAATCCATTCTCACAGATGCACCTGAAAAAAGTCCTCAGAAAGGATTCAAGATCATTTTAAAGAGTTCTAATCTCCAATGTTCTTGGTCCGTTTTCTATTTGGACACACATTAACAGCCTACTCACTAAAGAAAAAAGGAAAGTTCTGTTTCAGAACTTTGTGAAACAGTGAGTGCCTCTTTAGGTCTCCAAACTTCAAAGCCTTGTCTGTGTACCGATCACGAATAAGGTCTTTTGCATGCTGCTGCTGTGTACTGAGGTATCCTAACTCATGGGCTCATCAGGGAGATCTTTCATCAGTGATCTTGTCAGCTGCTACCTCTGACAGTAGTTAACATCGCTTAAGCTCTTGTCACTATTTAGTTTTGTCAGCTGGCTCACTCTGCTCTGTCCCTCACACTAGTAAGAACGTACTTACCAATGCGAACTGTTTCTTTCTCTATTTTGTTCTCACTCAGGAGCCCCAAACTACTGTAATCCACAACCCTGATGGAAACAAGGTATTCAGAAAGAATCAACATCATCTTGCTTTAACAAGATGACACATTTCATCAAATATCCAAAGCAAAATTCATTATCTAAATACGGGAAAGAAAATTCTTACCCTTTTTCTACCACACTTTTTTTTGGGTGGGGGGAACCTCATTTATCTAGAATTTTACACATATTTCTTTCAAAACAAAAATGAATGACATCTTGAAAAAGAAATGAATGGAACCATTAGCCAATAAAAGTCGGGTTAAGCAAAGTCTTTATGTCAAGATGACTGTGTATCTTAAGCAATTCCATCTGGTCTTTTTTTTTTTTTCCCCCCTTCTCCATGCCTGTTTGTGCATTGTACTTTAATTATATTCTGCATGAAATTTTAGAATTTCTTGCTATCTCATTTCAGTGTCTTCAAAAAAATCTTTAGTTCATAAGTGTTTGTTTAAATTTAATGTTGCTTTTGAGTTTTATTTATTCTGTTGTCATAGTGCTTTTTCTGTTAATTCCCTGTTGGTGTTGTTTTTGTTGTTTGGCATGAAATTGAGGATAATCAGGGAGTTTCAATTCTTATGAAATGTTTGTTTTTGTTGAGTTATATGCATTTCAGTAACAGATATTTAACCACTTAGGCTGAAAGAAGACTGTAATGTTTTCTGTCTGTTGTAGATTGTGTAGCATGTTAACTAAATAATAGTAGTTGTGTACATGTCTATAGGACGAAAGGAGACATTTTCTGAACATATTCCATGTTTCCAGTTTACTAACTCTCATATATTATTGTATCTCTAAGGGAAGGAAAAAATATTTCATCGATTTTTCTCAAATACTAAATATAGTCACAGGTCTTAATTTCTCCTTACTCTTATCAACAATATTTAAGTCTTAGAGAACACATTTCCTCTGGTTTAACATTTAGTTGATCAATATTAAAATCATTAAAGTAAAAAAAAAATCAAGTATTCTTTAATATGAGATGTATTTTATGGTCATAATACAAAATATTTTAAGCCCCTGAAAGACTTATAGGACTCACGAGCATCATATAGGAGAAAAAATTTTTTTAAATATCATTAGCAAATGAAAGACCAAGCATAACAGCTGGAGTGGATACTTCAATAGTTCTAGCTATATCATTTGTAAGAGTTGCTGCATGATATTTCTTGCTTACATGAATTCGTTTACTTTTACAGTGCATGGGTTTACCTTCATCATGAGTTTAAATTTGAACACTAGGTCACATTAAGAGACGCATGAAGACTATTTGCTTTTATTTTGTGTATATGGAGAGCTTCTGGATACACATTTAATTAGTCTGTCCCTTTGGCTTAAATATTATATATAATATTTATATAAATTGATTGCTTTTTTGATTATTGAATCTCTACAAGGACACTGATTGGTATCTGCATCATTTTCCAAAATCTGTTTCTCATCACTGAGCACATAGCTCTGGATTGGAAGTTTGTTTTCAACTTCTTTCAGCTCTAGCCTTTAATCATTTCAAGTAGATAATTGTGTTTTTCTTATGAATACTACTAAATTTCTTTGCTAGAAAAAATTTTGTTAGCACATTATTAGTGGAAAAAATTTATCAAACCATTTTAAGAAACTGTATCTTAATACTGTTAATACTGGCAGTTACAGTATCCTTTTAAGTGTGCTTATTAATCTTCAACTTCATTTTAGTTTTACAAAGAAATAGCTTTGTCTTTCCATTATGAGAGCAGGTTTCTTATTGATAACAGCCAGTTTCTAATTAAGAAATGGATGAAAAAATCTAATTGTCCTTGAAAGTAAATTATTCATATAATTCCATTGCGCTGATCACAGACATGGAAATTCTTGTTAAAAGCAGTTTCAGGGCACCTGGGTGGCTCAGTTGGTTGAGTGACTGCCTTTGGCTCAGGTCATGAACCCAGAGTCCCGGGATCCAGTCCTGTATGAGGCTCCCAGCTCCATGGCGAGTCTGCTTCTGTCTCTGACTTTCTCCCCTCTCATGCACTCTCTCACTCACTCTCTCAAATAAATAAATAAAATCTAAAAAAAAAAAAAAAAAAAGGAAATTTCAGCATAATTCAGCTTAGTACCCCTAGCTTTCTGATCGAATTGATACAATGAAATGCTTTCTGTCTCTACACAAGAATAAGACAAATAGGCTGTGAATTCAGTGCTTGATATAGTTCCTTATACAAAGATGGGGTTATTTACTCATTAATTAATTGGTAAGAGAAATTGTTCTATTTTAGGGTCAAATTCATTAGGCTAATGTATTCAATTCTGATAAATATATCGAAAAAGCACACCCTATGGGGCACTGTAACCAAATATGGCCTTACACAGCTCTTAAAATAAGTTGCATACTTTGGCTGCTTCTACAAATAACCTACATTTATCATACTTCAGAGTAGGCCACCAGAGCACTCCCTTTTTGAAGTGTTTGCAGCATTTGGCATTTTATTTCTGTTAAAACCACATAATGTACTTGTCCATCTGCATGTCAATATATGTACACAGCTTGCTGATGAATTTTGCATGATATGTATATCACTTGCCAATTTTAAGAATAAAAAAAGTGAAGTTTTCCATTGTTTGCAACTTAACACATGTTTTCTTCTCGACAGGAGTCAACTGAGAGTTCAAATACAACAATTGAGGATGAAGATGTGAAAGGTATGATTAAATCAGAAGTGGAAAATCCTAATTAGAGTTCCATATAAATCAGAAAAATAGTTGTTTCAAATAACAAGTTTGGGAACTAGGCCTCTTCTAAAAAATAAAAGTACTTTTCATACGTACACATTATTTTGATTATATATATAGATTTTGTCAATTTTTTCACATTATATTTTTCTCTGTTTTGAAATATACACAAACATAGGACATTTGGGTACATTGTAATTTTAAACTAGTAATGACAGTCTGGGGACATAATATCAAATTGTAAATGTATCAGTTAGAAGGTAATATAAAATGTTTATCTATGTCTAGAAAACAGCTTGTGTTCAAGAACAGAGTATGGAAAGGACCATTGTTTAAAACCTTTAATGGTCTCAGTGAGTTTGAACATTTGGCATCCTTTTTATCCTAGGTTTTTGTGCACTTTCCTAATATATTCTTGACCTCCATTCACTTGAGTTGCCCAGGTTCTTTTAGAAATATAAATGAGTCATTGCCAGCATTTCTATGGACATCTCACTGCCTCTGCACGTACCTCTAAACATACTTTGACTTCTTTTTGGTCTCCTGGCTATTTTAGAAGGGTTAATTTTCCTTCAGTTGCTTTCAGTTTTGTGTTCTCATTTTCGTAATTCTGTGTATGTAACTACAATTTCTACTGGCCATTTGTCGAGAAGCCATTCCAAAAAAAAATGGTAAGAATAGGATGTTTAAAAAGTATTAAAGATGGGGGCGCCTGGGTGGCTCAGTCATTAAACGTCTGCCTTCAGCTCAGGTCATGATCCTAGGGTCCGGGGATAGAGCCCCGCATCCTGCTCCGTGCTCAGCGGGAAGCCTGCTTCTCCCTCTCCCACTCCCCTTGCTTGTGTCTCTCTCTTTCTCTGTGTTAAATAAATAAATAAAATCTTTTTAAAAAGTATTAAAGATGTATTAAAGGAAAATAAGCATAAAACAAATTCAGAGAAATGATTCATCGATAAACATTATTTGGAAAGATTATTTACTTAATAGTGTCAACATGGGCTTTCATTTTGTAGTGACATTAGTAAGACACAGTTTTGGAAAACTATATTCATGTTATAGAACAAAGAACCTGGAAACTCTCAGGTCAAGGAGACAGGTAAGAAATTTAGGAAATAAAAATGCATATAGACTGCAAGTTACCAGTCACCTATGCTGACTTTTTCCTCTTTGGTTGAATAGAAGAGCTGACTCTATTATATTAAAGTGTGTTCTCTATTTATAATTTAGTGCACTGACCTAACTCTGCTAGAGATAGTCATTTTTTTTTTTTCTCTTACAGTGGAAAGGTGGATAGCTGTGTCAAGGATTTTATTTAGTAGGTCTATTCATCTTGCTCTTGCCCCAGAGCTAAAATTTGAACAGAAGTAATTTTATGAATCATTGATGCCAGTCACATTAGATAAAGAGATTTTTTAACCAAATAAGCAGTATGCCATTTAGCTTTCTCAGTGATTCAGAAAGCATCATCTTTGTAAGTATTTTGGATTCATTAGCTCTTTCAGCCAAGCAAAATGTTTATATGACTTTATACATTCTTCTCTTGAGCAAGAATCAGGGGAAATAAACCTGTATATTATCCACTAGAAAGACTGAATCTTTAAATAGCTGAATAGTATTAGAATAGCAAGACCTCACAATGTGTAATTAGTCCTAATAAACATATTCCTTGGTGATCACAAGCAGCATTTTAATAAGTGATCTTTCTCACCTGAATTTGACTCTTTACTAAGTTTTGGTTTAGGATGATCACTATTAATGCATGTAAATATCAACATATAAACAATCCCTGCCAGCCCTACCTTATAGTTTATAATCTTTTTTGATGAAATAAAATTGTATCAGCACCTCTCAGAAAACAGTTCTCTCCATATCACAACAATGATACTGGTTTCCTTTGCCTCTGGGGTTCCACAAATTGAGATAGTATTTGTCTTTATGATTATAGGCTACACACACCAAATATTAGCAAAATTAAAGCCTAATATTGAGATGGAAAGAAATGTCCAGTTGATTACTAACCCCAAAGTGTTTTTATTTATTTCTTTGAACTCAGTGAATAAGTTATTGAAGTTTTTGCTTAATTTTCTTTGCGTGAATGTGGCCACAGAATCACAGATATAACACATTAGGCATCATTTGTGTTCTCTAAGACCCATCTTTGGTGGCTGACCTTTTTTAATATTGAATGATGTCAGAAACCTGTCAGACTAGCAGACACTTTAAAAAATCACTCAGGCCATTGTTCTGACTCCAAGACAAGCATTAAATAAAACTGTCATTAAAAAAAAAAAAACTGTCATAAATATTTTTAATGTATTTATTGTGCTAGTGATGTGCTTATATGGGAATCTCTTCATTAACCAGGACACAGTCCATCAGAAAGACCCTAATTGATTTCTGCATTTGTATGACTGTGCTCTTTTCTCTTTACCTCAGAGTTTGCTATATATAGCTCTGGGTAGCTTGGTAGAGAGTGTTTTTTGACTAGCTCTGTTAGAAGCCAAATTACCTGTTATCTAAGCTCTAGGAACTCAAAAAGACATCAGTTATATAACCTGACCAAAGCCACAGTATCTCTACAAAGCCATATCCTACATACAAAATTTCCTGTCTTTCTTCCACATATACTTTCCAATCCTTTCCCTTCTGTATACTACTTTGTTATCGGGGTGAAACACCAGACTTCCGGATATATTCTTAAATGCATATTCCCCTAGCATACTCCTGCATTCAGTCACCTGCTCCATTCATTCCTGCTGGCTGTCCCACATAACACCTACACCTAGACTTCTGTTGTTTCATGGTAGCGTACGATCCCTGGAATACCGTAGTACATGCTCCCATAGTACATGCTTCCATGCCAATGTAGTACACATTCTGTCTGATCCCCAAGGACCACCCTGGCAGTGACAGTTCTACACACTCTCTACTGTAAAGAAACACAGCAGGGGGGATATTAACACATCAGGGTGATCTAGACAAGGGAAGAAATGAAAATCAACAGGAGAATACCTTGTGTTGGCCTTTTCAGGGGCAAAAAAGGTAGGCCACCCACTCTTAAGGAGGAAGAAAGTATTAGTCATAGTAGATGAGTAATCCTTCACATTCAGGGAACCTGGAGCACCTAGAGAGCCAGAATTTGTAGAAGACTCATTTTCTTTGAGCTCTCCCTGTTAGTTTCCATTCAGAAAGGCCTTTCGATTTCGTAAGGCCCCAATCTATGTGTTATTCTTGAACTGTATGTAGGCTACCTCAGTTTTTTCATTCAGCAGATATTTATTGAATGGCTAACTGTTTGAGCTCCACATCTTGGTGACTAGTCTTATTCAAGAGCTTTCATCAACTCAAGAGTCAAGATGTTCTTCTGTACACTTTACATGAAGCTTTTATGCTATTATTTATGCTGTTTCTCTCAGCTAATTCAATAAATATCAACAAAATTGACTTTAAAAACTGAGACCCAAGATAAATGTGTTTTTATTTTTAAAAGTCCATTTTCATTTTTAAAAAAAACTTTAGCATTTAGTTATAACCACATTTCCCTTCCTAAGCTCACAGTCATCCTAAGGGATTGTTTTACAATTTTCTTTTTAAAAAGCTTCTTAAGTTCACTGTTTTCTCTTTCCAAGCCAACATGGACTTCCTAGTGTGGACCTCTTGAGCCATTTCTTAATTTTGTCCTATATTCAAAAACCAAATATTATCTCTAACTCTATGTCTGTAACTCAGCAGGAAACTCCGTGTAATGGAAAGACTGTAATGGCTTAAAAATAAATGGGAGCTGTAATGAGGCATAGCTATGACCGTAGAAGCACTGTGCAGTAAAAACAGCTTTACGCACCCAAAAACAAACAAAAGTTTTCCTATTAGGATTCACTGGTGTTTCCAAAATACAGATTTTTAGGTCTAAAATTGTTGAAATAGTCATTCCATTTTGAGTACATTTCTAGTAAAACAGTTACTTTTAGATGGCAACACTTAACAGTGCGGCTCTCTATGAGTACGGGTGTCCTTAAAGCTAATGATACATAGCAGTGGTCCTCTCAGCGCTATATACATTTGAAGACTATCCTTTGGTTTGTGGCTGTAGCCACAGTTTGCAGGGCCTGTCTCTGTATGCCACAATGTCTGTCCACCTCATAACCTGCCAGCGCCATTGCCCAGAGTCAGCTACTTCTTCCTGATGGGTATGCATCAGTTTGGTCCTTCTGCTGCTCTTCCCTAGACTTCCAGAGTTGTGCAACACCTATCAAAGTTGGGCTCCTCTGTGCCCTTATGTCATCTCTGTTACACATCCTGCTTCCAGCGTCTCATTGCATACAGCTCACCATTGAGTAGCTGCTTGGATCTCTTGCTGCATTTCATTTTTCCTTACAGTGGAGCTCTGTGCAACAAACAGAAATGTATTGCTTTGAGCAGGACTGTGTATGGGGACTTCATTCTGGTTTATCCTCTTTTCCTTTTGCTGACAAATAGATGATGATAATGAGGTTGCATTGTTTGCAAAAGGCCCAATTAAGGGCAAGGGTTGACACCCTTAGCATTTCAATGGGGCTGTTTTGATGACATCTGGATATAAAGGCCTTGGCTCATCTGCAGAATCATGTGGTTAATAAGCTTTTTGTGTATATCTTTGTGAATCTGTACATTAGTGGACAGTGTGATGACTAAATACTCAGATTCAACTATTCTTACGTTCTATGTTCAATGAAAACCTTCACTGCTGGGTAGAATTCCCTAAGGCAGATGATCACATATTACCAGTCTTCTTCAGATCCCTTTGTGGTTTGTAACTCAGCATTTGTCCTGCATGCCTTTCTCTCTTCAAGAGAATCTGCATATCAAGAAACTTCTGGTTATTTTATTTAAGAACCTTTGATAATTATGTCATTCCATTAGATTAAAACTGTCTTAGAAGACCTGTAGTGCAGTGCATAATAACTTCTTTCAGATTTCTAATCAAATTTTGA